CATATATATATATATATATATATATATATATATATTAGGAATTTTTAATTCATACGAGTAGAATGTATGTATCATAATAACCTTGAACAGTCGAAATCTGTATAAACTTGGTGATTTTACGAAACGATTAAATAGATTTTTAAAACTTACTGCTGATTGATGTTGAGATAAACCGTGCATTGTATGAAATTAAAAAATGATACGGTTTTCAAGTACATTCGTTTCATGAAAGTTGAAAACTAAATAATTATATATTTTTAATCGATCGTTTTAAAAGATCATTAATTCCTCTAAATCACGTATTTATTTCTTTACAGTTGACAGAACGCAACAGCCTCAAAGGCATTGCAGAAGATTTCGGAAGAGCCTCCAGTAGTATGCTACATATGCAAAATAAAAAAAAAATTAAATTAAGTCACGAAAATGTGATGCCTTTAAAAAATAATGAGAAAACTGTGTATGATTCAGAAAATATGAATAATGTTAAACCGGTTGCATCACAAGATAATATCCTAGATGATTTTAATAAGCTGACCAGTATACAAAAAGCTGTAGTCTTATTGACTATGTTGGATTTCAATGATGAGAAAATTATGCAAATAATCCAGAAGTCTTATGTCGTAGACATAACTGATCTGCATAAGATTGAAGTTGTCGGTGACACCTTTTACGATAGATCTATTAACGCGAATATTGTTCTGAGCCCATATTTCTCCTCCAGCGCTATAAAATTATTACAGGAGGAAATACAATCCATCTAACAGCATTATTTTTTTCCAATGATAGCAATTTTTGTACAGCTGACAATTCTGTTAGGTAGTTTAATGCACTACTGCAGTGCGATCCATTATCTAGGGTAACATTTTCATCTAAGACATCCCAAAAAAAAGTCAATTCCTCATTGTTATTGCGAGTCTTCGGTTTTTCTTCGCGAGATTTATACACGCCTGCTTCTATCGCTTTTTTATCTACTCTCGCAGTTTCCAAAATGACTTTCAAGTGTTCTGGAAAATAATTTATTTAATTATTTACCTACATGTGTTGATGTCTTGGCTTTGGGTGGGTGGATGTTGGGATATTAATCAAAGTTGTAATCACACGATAATTCAGTAAATATTAGGTTTACTTATAGTACTCACCAATAAACTTATTTTTGTCCGGGTGCTTGGGTAAAGCTTTATTTAGTTGTTTGTTATAGGCTTCTTCATTGTTATCNTAGGTTAGGTACGAACTTTTGTCTCCTAACTGCCCTAATCCACAGCTCCTTCTGTTTTGTTTCATGGGGTCTACTTGGGAATTTATACAGCACCACCCCCTGCTTTTTTTTCTTGTTGCAATTAACAACGCAACACTGTCTCGTACGCATTTCGTTACTTTGTAAACGTAAACACTGATTCAGATTATACAGCTAGCGGCAGCCTACGTTGACTGCTTGGAGTTCTTGCTCTCACGTATACAACATTACAGATAAGTGTGTGTTGTGTACTATATGACAGATGATATTTAATAACCGATTATTTAAAATTTCGGGCCATTTGAAGAACCTAGCAAAATTATTTATCCGTATTATAGACCCAGTTTGGCTAAATAACATTTTTTTTCCGCCTTCGATTTCTCAACTAATTACTTTAAATGAAATATCTTTTCTCACATAAGACAACGCTTACTGTACGACTCATGGGGGTACGGGTTCGCCAACTTTGCTCACCTACAGCGCTGCAGTCGTTTTTTTTATCCCCTCCAACCTGATGCATGGAGCGAATACGACCGTTTGCTCGGTGTTCGTTTCCTATGTGACACCTGATGCGAGAAAGCGAAAGTGACACAAAGTGTTCACAAAAATTTACTGTAGGAATACAGGCAAAGGGACCACCTGTATATCTTACACCGTGCTCATGCTGCTCTTGTTACAGTGGAAGCCGTTTAATTCTTTGAGCGGGAAATTCAAACATTTAATACCCTTTGGCTGATTCGATCACATAACCTCTTTCATTGGTAAATTTTATACTACCCGCTCAACGAATTAAACGGCTTCCACTGCACATAGCATTGGCTGGTATATCTGTATCACCAAAAACGTTAAGCACTCATTATTCTTGTGCGTTGTATGTATAGATACATTACTCGATGTTACCCTTGAGCGTTGTGCGTTACGGTAACTTGCTGTATTTGTCATGAGACGCAACTACTAGTGCTGAAGAGTCCTTACAAAAGTAAATGAGTGGCTAAAGTTAACAGTAAAATCTCTACCATTTTACATATCCAAAAAAGAAAACCGCGAGAATTTAACGCTATTCTACAATGTAAAAAAGTATCATGTGGCAATAACTGGAACTAAAAGCTCTCCCACGCGTCTCATGACGAAAATGAGACGAATAGACCTGTAGAGTCGCGGTCACATCGACGCGTCCGACCGCGTCCCACTCCGACGTCCATCAGAATCGTGCCTAGTTCTTCACTATAAACCTTAAATAGGTTAATTCTCAAACATATCTGATATTCACAATTTTTTTAGTTTATTTGAGATTTGCACGTTAGCCAGGGCCGTACCATGTAAGTTTTTTTCGCTTCGTGGGCTTATGTTATAATATAGATTTGCGAAGCGAAAAAAGGTTATATGGTACGGCCCTGGTAAAGAACTAGGCATGATTCTGGATTCTGGACTCGTTCCAAATGGTGTACACTACTGACGTACTGACGAGCGTATACTTGGGAACGCGCAACCAATTTTTCATTCGGAACGTTCCTCTCGGACGGCTCTGAGACCTGAGTCCTGGTCCTGAGTCTGAGTGCCTCATGAGTTCTCTGACTATAGACATATAAGAAAAATAGACTGCTTGTTCAATACGGCGATGAAGCACAAGTAGAAGGAGACAACACCGAACGTGGACATCTGTTTCTCTCGCACATTGCCAAAGGTGGGAACGGGCGAGAGAGATAGATACCCACGTTGGATGTTGTGTCTTCTTCTACTTGTGCTTCAGTGCCGTACGTGAGATCGAGCAGTCTATTTTTCTTATATGTCTGTGCCTCTGACGCGTTGATTGGGAGTGGGGATTATGTAGTGTATTACTGTATTGGCGGTGTAGCTGAAGTGTTTGAAATTCACTGATTAGTTCCGCCATTTTCGGGACTAAATGAGAAAATGCAAGCCAAGCAAAGATGTGTATGTATTCGCTCCGAGCCGATGCAGAGGTTGTGCCCCCTCTAGCCAAAATCAGGCAACATTTCTTGCATGTAAACAAACGGTTTAGAACATATATACATACGTATAGCTGCTTGTGATTGGCTGAACAAGACAGCAGGAGAGGATCGTCGTTCTCTCTCTAGCTTGCCAAGTGCCAATCACAAGCAGCTGTACGTATGTATATATGTTCTAAACCGTTTGTTTACATGCAAGAAATGTTGCCTGATTTTGGCTAGAGGGGGCGCAACCTCTGCATCGGCTCGGAGCGAATATGCATGTGAATCTGCATTTTCCTCTCCACCGCTTCTATCACTTATGCCGTCCCGAAAATGACGTATTCAGCCACACTTCCTTCATAACCACTCTATAGCGTCGATGTGGCCGCGCCTTGAGGCCCCAATTCCCCAACTGACATATTTGGCGTTTGGCAATTGGCATGTGTTAGGTACTCATACATCACAAACACAGAGGTTAACAGCAACTGCTGCAGAGATATATCGTGTGTACCCCGGTGTACCCACAGTAGTTCAATACACTATTACAAAAAAAATAATATAAAATATACATTAATTACTACGAAGATAAGTACTTAGTTACTTTATTTACACGTTGAACCTTCCGCTGATGAGGTTATTGAGTTTTCTAACGCATCAGCAGCGCAATAGAATCAAAGGTAGTGGGTGTATATTTGTACACAAGTATATCTATAGTGCCAGATAATGCACGCCATCAGGGCAAAAAGCAAAACAGAGAGGAGAGGAAGCACCAGCAAATACCTAAGTACCTATACCGCTCGTATGATATATTACTACAGTATATTCAAGACTTATACCTACAGGAGTGCATAGTGAATACACGATTGAGTTGGCAAGCTACTTTATGTGTAGTAGGTACTTACTTATTGTAGCCCTACTGCTATTTGTAACTGTTTAGCACTCAACAGGTACCGATCAGATTAGTTATACCAACTAAGTTGCTTGTTTCTAAACTTAAAACGAAGCTTCAAATGTCATACGGTAATGGGTAATAGTTATGCAAACTATATATGGTTACCGCGGTGTAAACTTGTATGCATTTAATTAATAAGTGAGTACTGATGTAAATAGAGTCAAGAAACAACAGAGACGAGGACGAGGAGGAGTGAAGACTCGGCAAGTTAGCACTACATCACAACTCCCTAACAAGTACCGTGCACCATTACCCAAGAAGCAGCGCAAGGAGAGGAGTAGGAGGATGATGATGCTGCTACCACCACCGCCACCGCCACTGCTGCTCCTCTCTTCTCGTCGGGCGCATGAAGGTCACAGTAGTAGCAACACTAGCAACACCACGGGCCAGCAGCAGGAAGCAGAAAAAAAAGAAGAAACAGCAGCCGCCGCTGCCACGGAAGACGCGACCTGCAGCATGAGCACAGAGAGAGCCTCGTTGTCTTGAGACCGATGCTACTACTATACAGCATTCACCGTCATCGGACTATTGTCACTATATGATCTGAACTTTTGTCCAGTTGACAAGGAGAAAAGGGCAGAAACCCTCGAGAGTGCGAACCTAGGGAAAACTTTTGTACCGTCAGTGGCAGCGGTGGTCAGCACTCGTGAAGCACCAGTAGTTAATAGATTGAGCAACGGCAGTGGCGGCTGCGAGACAAGAGCCTGCTGCACGTGATACTCACAGGCACCTACGTAGGTACACACCCACCCCATCTCAAACGTCGACCGCACGAGAGGATTATTGCTTGCGGCTCAGCTTTTCTTGCGATCGAGCCGTCGTGCTTAAGGAGTGAACGAGAGGGATTGCGCTTCTATATTATAGCTAGAGCAGGAGAGAAGAGAGAGAGAAAGCAAGCGAGCAGAGCTCTCCGAGAGAGCTTCGTGTTTGTGTCTGTGTGTGCAGCTGCTCCTTATTTCGAGAAAGGAAGAGTGCTGCGATGCGAGGCGTCTAGAGTTTGTGTATGTGTGTGTATTATGTGCGCGGGTGTTTGTGTATGTGCATGAGTTGCCAAGGTGGAAGAAGACGGTCCTGCTGGTGCTTGCCCTGGTGCAAAGTGTTTGTCGCGAGCACATGCCAAAACTCACAGCCGCCCCTCGACAAGACTGCTGTGCTTTCTTTTCGAGCTCTGAGACCTGCTGGCCAAGGACTTGGACAATTGCAGCCTGCTGTACAAGAACCAAGCATGGGTGGCTAAGGTATTTTTGCCGTGTTTTTTTTTTTTTATCCCTTTTGCTTCACTCGTGTGCTGCTGATGCTTTGGTAAATTATCTAGTTGACCAGGATATTCATGAGCTTGTATACTTTTTTTATGGGATCCAAACTTAAATACTGGCAAAAATATGCTATGTAGTTGCAAGTATGTGCAAATCAAACATCCAAGTAATTCACACAAGTTTCTTGCAAAAAAAAAAGGATTTAAAAAGTATCACCAAGTCATGGCTATGTTGAGAAACTTATTCTATGACTTTGTATATTTATGTATGCTCAAAGGTGCTAAAAAGAAAGTGTTGGTAGTTTCAAATGGAAATAATAAATTTCAAGTGTTGAATGAATATTGTTATTTACAATATCTTGCAACCAAACTTTAAATATGAATGAATTTAAGGGCTGTTCATCAAAAAGTACGTACAGAGAAACAACAAATGATAGATTTTTGTGGACATATACAACTTTATTTAGCAACCAGTGAAATATGTATTAAGAATTAAGTCGTAAATATTGGTTACATTTTCAAAACTGTCATCAAAATAAAAAAACATAGCTATAAAATTGTCAGTTTGAACCATAATTTTTAATAAAAAGTACTTTGCTCTGTGTCAAGTATTTTAACAATTAATTTTTTTTAAATCCTCTTCAAACTTTCAATTGATTGTCTAGAACGAGACGGTCTTTAATTTTTTATTAGTTAGTAAGTAATTAGTCTATGAATATCAATACAGAAAGAATAATTTTTTTTTTTTTGACAGTTTAAAAATATTTTTACAGATGACAATTCTGATTCTCTATACCATATTTATATTTGAAAAAAATCATAAAATGTACAAAATTTAAGAGTCGACTACCAATACTGTCTATTTACTTTGCAATTATTATTTCATGGGTTATTATTGTTTCTGAGAAACTTCAAAAATAGATAGTCATTGTGTATGTAATCATGCTGTAGCAAAAGGCAAATAAAACTTTTTTTTTTTTCTATGTCCAATACAAAAAATAAAAATGTCAGAGAAAAATTCTTGATACATACTATTAAGTTGTGAAAATAAAAACCTTTTTTGTTCATAGCAAAAAAAAAATTGAATGACAAATAATTCCTCTACTTCTTGTTACCCTAATGATTGCAGACTGAAGGATAGAGCATGGCTCGCTCGAAGGCAACAGCATGCGCGAGAAGTCGTCGGAATGTCATGCCCAGGCGAGTCACCACTTGATAACGATGACCGAGATGTGTTCCCGGGAGTCGGGACCCGGCGTGCTTCAGCACCATTCAAGCATCGCCAAGGCCAATGGCAAGAACCCGTCCAGCCCTCAGCATCAGCCACAACACTCGCCCCAGCCCCACCAGATGGTGCACACCCAGTCACAGCAGCCGCGCGCTTCTGACGGCCGGCTACTTGGTGGCCAGGAAGACGAGGGCCACACTAGCAATGGGAACAATCTGCCCACCCCAGGAGGCCGGCTCAAGTTCTTCAAGGATGGCAAGTTCATCTTGGAGCTGTCGCATCGTAGAGACGGCGAAAGGACCACGTGGTTTCCTGTACCCAAAAAGACCTTCTGGCCGCCGGCCAGCGTCACTCCAAGCCGCCAGGAGAGCTCGGCCTCTCTCAGCGGTAAGTAAAACATGCTGTTCAGCTTAATTTCTGCTCGTATTTTCTTACATTCTTGTAATAAAAATTCATTTTTTAAAAACACAATTAAACCCATTCATTGAAATGATAGTTTCAGACGATAACTCGTCGATCCAGTCAAGCCCGTGGCAGCGCGACCACTGCTGGAAGCAAACGAGTCCAAGGCGCAACATTTCGACTGAGTTTAATTTTTATTACCGACGCAATCCTAAGGCGCGATTAAGCGTCCATCCGAGACTGATAGCTCGCAAGAGACGGCAACCACTGGATACTAGTTCCTCGCTGGCGCTGCTGCAGGAGTCGGCCGCGAATCGCCAGAAATCCAAGCAGCAGTCACAGCTACCACAACCACCGCCTATTGTGCGCAAGCTCAATGGTGGCACCACACCTCCCAACAAAAGTCTGAACATCATCATTGAAAAGCTTGCTCGCCTACTGGAATCGAACGTCGTGTCACCTCGCAAGCGCATTCTACGTGAACTCGAAAGGGTCAGTCTCGAGGACCAGGCGTCCAAGCGTAGAGCCACACCACTACAGCCCGCAAACAGTACAATGGTGAGCGCTGCAGATTTATAAGATTTTCACTACCTCTCTCAAGTGAACCGAGCTTGCTGAATATTTTTTACATAGGTTTACATTTCAAATGGTTTCAAAATAACTTCACTAATCTTTGTGCATTTGAATTCAGGCAAACGAGACGGCACCCCCAGCATTAAAGCAACTATCGTCATACAGTATCACAAGCATCCTGGGTGAAGATAAGATCTCGCCAAGTATTGAGAACGAGCCAGGTTTCTTGCGGAATCTCCTCAAGCCGCAGGATCATCATCATCATCACCGACATCACCATCAATCTCATTCGCCGCAACATCAGCCTCATCGCTCGCCGCAACATCAGGCCCATCGCTCACCACAACACCAGTCTCACCGCTCGCCCCAGCATCAGCCACATTGCTCGCCCCAGCACTCGCACTCTCCTCAACACCACTTATCACCGCCACCGGTGTATCATCCGCGCTCGAATAGGCTTGAGTCGACGTTACCAACCACAGCTTACTTGAGCCCCAATGCTGCCCCGTCAATCCATCAGCCGCTCTACGGTCTGCCAATATTGCCACCCACGGCCTACAGGACGCCACCCTTCTGCTGGATGCACTACACACAGCCAGTACATTATCCGCCCCCGATGCCCCTGTACGCAGCGCCGCCCCAGCCGCCCCCGCACACTCCGTCGCCCTCACCGCCTGCCCATCGTTACAAGGACTACAGGGAACAGACCCTTACGCCTCCTGCGGGTAAGTTAATTTCTTTCATTTTGATTTTACATTTGTCATCCTATAAAATGTTGTTCCATATCTCAGAATACAATTTCATACATTTCACACCACCGTAGAAGTATACACTTCTTAAAAGTGAACCACTGACAAATTGTGGGTAATAACCTCATACCTATGATGTTAACCGATTACAATTAATCCTTTTAAGTTGACTGAATGTGTTTTTTTTTTTTTTTTTCATAACTTTTCGAATACTTTTATTAATCTAGTTAAATCAAAAAGACATATGTTGACGAAATTGTAAATTACCCCGAATATGTGACATTTACATTGCTTTAAAAACTAGGAATTGGTTCTGTAAATACTAGTTTTTTTGAATTGAGACAGTAAATTTCTCTATTATTTAACAAAATAATACTAAATTCTTCCATGAAACTTGTTCTAAATTATCTGAGAATTTGAGAACGGAATAATTTATAAGAAAAGTGTAATAAAAATTGCATCAAGGTTTGTCTAATTTTATTACTTATCTCTTCATTCAACTTTTATAAAAATTTGCTTATTTATTTGATCGATGTATAATGAAAAGTAGTGCAAAAATGATCCCCTAAAAAAATAAATTATTTTTTTAATATAAAATGAAGTAATAAGATGTATATAGTTATCATAAGAGAAGAGTTCAAACTTGTAGGACTATTGAGGACTGCACATTAACTGAAAGATTCAATTTTTTCGTTACTATGCGTAATAATGCAGAAACATAATAAAGGTCCTAATAATTTCATGCTTCACAGTTTTATAATTGAAAAAAAAAAAAATTTAATTATGCAGTTGAAAACTGACAGTTACTGAAATAACACAAGTAATTCTCTAGTAAGTATCGGGTTGACATAAACTTGCAGCATGGTTGAAGGAATAACTACTCTTACAGGTGTGTTCTTTTCGACCAGAATGATCAGCCAATCAGCGTTGAAACAAGCATCCTTCCATATTGAATTTTCTGCCCATCATCATCAAGCGCGGGAGGAATACGAATAAAAATAATGTTCCTAAGAAACTACAAATGTTGAAGTAAAATATTTTTTCCGCCTTCTAACCTCAAAATAGCACTTTCGCCGCTTGATTTTGGATTCTTAGGAGGAAAAATAGTATACTTACAAAACTCGTTCGAAAAGGCTTCTTTACGAACCTTGTTACGGCCCTCGCCTTCGGCTCGAGCCGTAAACCTCTTGGTTCGTAAATCGAAGCCTTTGCAAACTCGTACGTAATATACTACTACTCAATTAACAACAAAAATAATGAACAGCACGTAATATGTATTGATAAGCGAATTAATTAAGCGGATAGTGGTAACCTCAAAAAATGTTCAATAAGGATTTTTCTGCGACTACAACGAAAATTGTTGGAATCGCTTCGTAGTGTGATCAGAATAGATGGAAAAATAGTTTTTGGGCACAATAGTGCCGGCTTTTTTGGTTATTAAGTAAATAGTAAAAATCGACCAGATTTTTCTTCGAATTTCGCTTATAACTGTTTTATGGACTTCATATTGAAAAAGTCGAGGAAAAAGTAGCCAAAGATAATTTGTTCGTTATTTAATTATCTATCGATCAACGCTGGTTAGATTGATTATCTGGAACCTTTTTTTCACGAAGTTATATAGCAAAAAAGTACGAAAATCGCTACTTGAAATTTTAATTTTGCAACATTGTTAACTAGAACATGTTTAAATAAAAATTTCTCAATGAATTCTATACCCGTTCTGGAGACCTTTAACCACGTGCAAGAATTTTTGTCTAGCATTATAAATGACGTCACAAAATGATTATTAGCTTAAAAATTTATTTGGCTATACACCCTGAATATTACAATACTAGCAGCCCCCCGTCTCGGCTTTGCCCGAGACTTACTAAATAAAACACCGTAGTGTGTTGACATCTAATGTGAAACATTTTCAGTTAGAAATTGTACACATATTCCTGATACATCTTAGAACAAAAATCTTCTTATTAAAAACATATTTTTTCGGAATCCATATAGTTTATTTGGTTAAATAATGAGGTGTAAAAATTCAAAAAAATTATTATGCTGACAAGTACCGTGCGTTCTTTATGCCATAAAATAATCGGTGGCCATAAGAAGCCGTTGATTTACAGTTTCTCCCGTGTAATTCACGAAAACGGCTATTTTTTAAAGCTGTTAAGATTTTAAACCCCCAAAAAATTTATATTAAAAAAAAA